TTCATGTAAGTATATGAGCCTGAAAATGTTACATTGGTCATCTGTTCTTCCCCACAATACCATGTCCATGTGATCGGAGGTTCTCCCAAGAGGTTAACATAACACCGGAATTTCATTAAACCGCCCTCATAGACATGCCTGACAAAATTGTCAGTGTAGGAATTTATTGTCATGCCCAAATATGAATATAGTCTCGGAGGTGAGGATGGGATAGCTGCAATGTAATGGATACTTATACTGCTTTAATTTCATGGTTAAGGTAAAAGGGAAGACTTTGTCTGCAGTTTATCTTTCATTGATTTTTTAAAAACGGATTTTATTTTTTAAGTGGAAATGCGCATAATGCACTTGTCAAAATTATGAGAGTTTTAAGAGGAAAGATATCCTTTCCTCCCATTGGTAATTGCAAGGAATAAAAGGGTTCATGTTTGTAAACGAAGTAGTTCAGATATATATATATATATATATATATATATATATATATATAAAGCACTAAAAAAACCAACAACACTGTATATCCTAAATGTCGGATCTATCAAGTAGATACAAGGTCACGGATGGAAATTTATAAAAAGCACTAAAAATGACCAACGACACGAACAATAAAAATTGTCAAAACGCCCTGTCCCTTCCTCAGGACAAAGAAAAGAGTTAAAAAGTCATAAGAACAAAGGAAAAAGAGAAACAAAAAACAACTAGCACTACTACTAAACTACTAAACACTATATATTTACATACTTAGTTACATGCTGATTTGGAAATTTTTAAGAACACTATTAAAGAAAGAATCCGGACCGCTATGAAATGCGTCCGGTCTATATATATATAAGTCAATATATATATATATATATATATATATATATATATATATATATATATATATATATATATATATATATATATATATATATATATATATATATATATATATATATATATATAAATATATATATATATATACACTAAGAGTCTCGACTTCACCAATAACATCTCCGCTTCTTAATGACTTCTGGCTTTCTGAAATACTGTCATTTATCGCATACTGTCCGTCCCTGTCCTTTAACCTTGTTACTATGATAAATCTAGAAAGAAAAATTTATTTCATGAACTAGTAAATGAATAGAATGAATATTAGCGACATAATCTGAAAATAAAAACAGCTTTACAATTCTTACAATTCAGCACTGAGTGGATTAGTCAAGTCCATCTCGAGAAATATCCAAATTATGACATCAACGTTTATATCACATTGAATCATTTCAAGACCATGATTTCCCTGACTTTTTCACATGGAACAAAAATGCAGGATTCAATGTTTAAAATGATATAAAGTTTGTAATAGAAGTATGATAGGTAAGAAAAATAATTAGATCTCAAAATGTAACATATATTATGAAACACCCTGTATATATACATGTATAATTAGTCAGATTCAAACTTCGAAGTTAACTGAATTGCAGAAATGATATACTGATTCCTGTACAAAATATTTTTAATGTAATGAGACTTTATATTGGGCGTAGCGATTATTTCGACGTGTGCAAGAATAAAGAATCTCCCATGTAGGGATGTCAGCGCTAAAACTTAAAGTTATCCTCTTATTTAATATACTCGGTATAATAAGTCATCAAAAATATGTATATTTCCAACAGATAATATATAATACATAAGAAGAAGAAACTAATGCGCAACACTTTTAGATTAGCTATTACTATACTACATGCATGTATTATGGAATCTAAATCATAAAGCTAATTTTTTTCAACAGCCACAAGAAAAGGAATTAATATATGATGTTGATACTAAGAAATTCTTTAGAATTTTCAAAACTGTGCCAATTTATGCCAAATTCACAAAAATGAGCTAAACATAGTTTCACAGTTGATAAACTCGACTGTAAACTATATCTATAGTTAACAATTCGTTAACTATAGTTTTCATCTGTAAAACTATATTTAACGGCTGTTGACTATAGTTTACGAATGCCAATCTAAACTGTAATAAAACATTAACAATAGATTTTGTTGATAAACATAGATTCACGTTGTAAACTATAATTTACAATCGTAAACTATAGTTAAAAATCATAGTTTCACAAATCGTGAAACTATATTTATTAGATCGTTAACTAAAGTTAAGAGTTGTAAACCCTAGTTTACAAATCGTGAAACTGTATTTATCCGATAATCTATGTTTTGCAAAAAGTGATTATTTTCAGTGTTAAGTATAAATTACGGTTGTGAAACATAGATTATCGCGTTAACTATGGTTTACAGATGTAAAATATAGATCAACGTTGTTAACTGTAGTTTACAGTTCGTAAACTATAGTTTACAACCGATAAACCTAGTTTATAGACTGTGAAACTATGATTAGCTCATTTTTGTGAATTTGGCGTGCCATACCAATTGCTTAATAAAATGTCCATTTAAATTTACTAATCAAACACATTCAATAGACAGATTGTCTTCAAAATTATTCAAGGAGTGACAGAAAATAACCATGATCACCAATACTTCAAGAACGATATAAACAATTCACAAATTTAGAAAAAAAATCTACATAATGCTATTTTTTGAATAATGTGAAACTCTTTCATGTTTTAGATGAATTGAAATCATGGATTTGTCTAAATGTATATCTTTCTTTATATGCATATATTTACATTTCCAATGTCTTTGTCCGAGATAAAATTACATATTGTAAATGTACTTTATTTTTCCCATCAATGTATTGGTGCGGTTCAAAAAAAAAAAAACAAAACAAAACACGTGCAGGGCGGAACAAACAACTAGACAGAAGCAGGGTTTTGAGCACGTAGATTGGCGGAATCAAAGCATGTAAATATAAGGAATAACTGTCAGATTTTTCAATTTCATGACGATGATCAATCGATTGGCTTGCTTGATAATTTTATGCATAAACGCCTTCGGTGTTTATGCAAATTATCACGCAACCCAATCGATTGATCACATTATGAAATCGAAAAATAAGACAGTTATTCCTTAAGTAAAATTACAAAGTTATCGAACTCCCGCTTGACATGCACAATACTGAACAAAAAGATAACACCCTAATAAAGAAATTATCATCATTGATACATTGAAATGAGTGTAATTAACAGTTAACTTACTGTCAGACATTACTGTATAGGAGATCCAAAAGATCCATTTTAACGCCAGGTAAATCATCTTGTAGAAGTAATACCGATATCATTGAAATGTTACTTTAACTCATTTAATCTATGCTATTTATACAGGAAGAAAAACCTTTCATTTGATTTGTAGAAAAACATACAATAATCAAGAGACGGCGTCAACCTAAAAAGTAAACAGCAGGTAGTAACTCTACCTTCCCCGAGCTACCATCGTAGCAAAATACGGCCAGAATGTACGATAGTCTCCCACTCAGGCAATAGTTGTATGATATTATTTCGTATTTCATTAAAATATTGACTATTAACGCGATCTTTTAACCCCAGTCGCATTTTACAGAACGTACATTGTTTGTTTATTGTGAAGGACATACGCAAGGTTCCTGGCTATCATATAGAATTTATAAGAACCCTTGAGTAGATTGCATGATATCAATCAGGTAATATTCTGGTAAATTTAACCCACCAAGCCAACTTTTTTCAAAAGATGAAATCTATGGAGATCACGAAAAGTATTCACGTTCAGAAGTCCATTCAAACAGTGCAAATCAGGAGAAGAACAAACATGGACCTCTTAAATATCGTAAGTTGAGCAGTTTCAGAACAAAAGCGGAAAATCTTCAAAATTAAAGCTTTATAATGAAGGACGGCAAAAATAAAAACAAGCCCCCCGATGATTCAGGTACTCTAACATTTTTATTTAAAAAAATGTCGGAGAATTCCATCCAAAGTATTATTGGTAAATTCTGGGTCTATATCAGGCACATGTTGTAAACGAGAAAACGCATAGAAAATTAAACACACTCAAGTGGACACATTATATTATAGACCAATAAATAAATGCAGTTGTACAACATCTGAGACACTTTTTACTCTAGACATTTTTCCTATTTTACACGCGAATGCATTAGGTTTCAATTTAATAGTTATATTGATTAAACCGAGTTTGAAAAGTCCTTTATATACTTGGACAGATAGGATCTTTATGTTGCAGAGTTATTTTCAAGACTCTAGTATGTCTCCATTGCATCTCATTCTGAGCTTGTTCATTTTGTCCTTCGTGGATTCCCGGGTTCCTCGGACTCATTTGTTGATTAAAGGTAAATCAAAATGTCTGATGAATAAACTGACATTCTTGCATTAATTAAGGTCTTTGAATGCTGAAATTGATAAATAAAATGTAAATCGAAGTTGTAAATTACATGCATGGTACAATAATTCAAAAGATATTAATATTAAAAAAATGTTTGTATTTGTTGATCGAACTGGTACATTTTAAAAGAAGAAAAACAGTTGTTTTATACTGCTAAAGAATCTGAAGTTTTTTTTATATTCTGCGAAAAGTTTGTATATTACCACTTAACAATCGTATATTCATACTTTCTTAGCATTTGAAAATTTTGTTTTTATATTCAGGATGTTCTTGTGTATGTTCTCTGATAAAACTAAAGTTAAATTTTCTAAATAAGGTCATGTAAAAGAATCTTTAAGAAAACTTCCGTGGAAATGGCGCCATGAGAAAACATCATATAAAGTGAAAACCCCGCTTATAATCGGGGTGGACGTTGTGTCCAGTTACAAATTAAGGGCAGACTCATTTGGAATTGAAAAGATCTTTAACACTAGTAAGTCAAATCATAGATTATATCTATTCCGCTTGATTAAGAATAAATCTGCTCTCCAAATCAGGAGTGCAAGTTTGATTAGAGATACTCACAAATTGATATAAATATTACTTACATAAAAAAGAAAGAAGAGAATGCGACCTGACACTGATAGTTTTGATTAAAATAAATAAATACATAACGTTACAGGTCACTTTCAATTCCGTGATTGTGCTGCTATTATGAAGAGAACTCCAGAAGTGCAAGGAAAAGATGGAGTGTATACTATATACCCTGACGGCAGGACAGAGAAGCGAGTATTCTGCGAGAAGACGACAGAAGGAGGAGGCTGGACGGTATTCTTATTGATGTTATCTATTTTTAAAAAATGTTGTGTATTTTTACTATAAACAAAGCATTAAAACTTTGAATGATTGTGCCGTTAGTTGGACTGATCGTTTAACACCCTCTGCCTAAATAAGTAAAACATGTACCTTATTACACCAATTAAAAAAGAAGTGGTCATATAATATTGTGAAAAAAATTGCCCTTTGCGGAAGGCAGACACTACCAAAATTATCTATTCAATTGACATGATTATCCTTGAAATTATTATCAATATCAAAGAATTTAAAGTATATAATTTACTCCGTTAAAAATTCAGGTCATTCAACGACGAAAATATGGCATCACTGATTTTTATCGATCGTGGGCGGAATACAAGAGAGGATTCGGAAGAGCAGAGACAGATTACTGGTTAGGTAAGTTTTCTACTGAGCACAGGGAGTCAGTGGTAGAGACAAAATGCTCCTATATGTTTATACTTAAATTTGAAAAAATAATATCCCGATTTTAAGGGGAAAAAATCAATATAAGGATCCAAAATGGACAAATAAACTTTTTTTTAAAATCACGAACTGGTAAATGTGATATATTCTGTGAACAGTCTTTTGCAACTTATCTAAGGAAATGAAGCAATTCACTCACTGACGTCACTAGCAGCAGAGGAACTTCGGATAGACCTTGAAGACTTTTCAGGTTCTAAAGCATATGCCAGATATTCTAAGTTTGTAATTGCCAGTGAGAAGGACAAGTACAAGCTGACAGTCAGTGGATACAGTGGCAATACAGGTGAGTAACTTTATATTTGATGAAAAGCATTTAGTATAAGAACATGGGTTTCGGCCCAAGATGCCGTATAATTAATCGACATTGTCATAAAAATTAAGTTTTTTCTTGACAAGGATATAATATATACTTTAAAGTCATGTTTTTGTTGGGTGAAATTTTTGCGGTTGATGAAAATGATATGGATTCATGGGGATTTAATTTTGTGGTTGAAGAATTGTTGAATAGTAATATCTGTAAAAATTACATTCCATGGTGGACATAAGCTCGTAGGTCTCTTCATACTTCGAAAACCACTAAAATTAAATCTACGAAAATAAGTGATTTCACAGTATATGATTGATATGATAATATATTTTCATTGATATTCAAAGGAGACGGTATGAAATTTCACAATGGTCATGTCTTTGCTACGAAGGACAAAGATGACAAAGGAAACAGTGCTAAAACTTATCGGGGAGGATGGTGGTATCACAACGGTTACTATTCAAATCTAAACGGACCATATCGAACATCTGCAATGAAAACTTTTGTGGCCATAGTATGGAGAACCTTTAGAGATAAAACTGCTCTTAAATCAACAAGGATGATGATTCGTCCAACACAATGAAATGTCAAAGTATCTGATTAAAAGACTCGGAAAACAGAAATAAATATGAAAATGATAGTGAAATTCAGCTCATTTTATTTGTTGCAGTTTATTTGATGAAAAATGAAAATGGTTAACAATACTATAAAGACATTTTTTCAAACCAGAGACATGATGTGAGTTTACAGGTGTATAGAACAATTTGGGAAATACTATTGGTTTAGCATGCTAACTGACTATTAATTCTTAAGCATACGTTTGTTACATGTATGCAATCCCATAATTATGGATTTCAAGCAAATCTTTCGAATAAATAAATCAATCGTCCGATCTTGCTTGGTCAACTTATCTTTTATAGTTTTTCTACGTTCGACAAAAATTTGCTCCAAGTTGTTTTATTTTTTGAACGGATACATATTTCGGGTTTCCCATAGCGAAATATTGACCTGCCATTCTTTCTATAATATTGAAGGGTACCAAACTCTTTTCCGCAACTCCTCTTATACCATTGAATAAGATTTAATGATACTTTTTTCAGATTCTTTGTTACCTCCTTTTTTTTCTTTTTGGTCGGACACATGTCAGGTTTCCAAGATCAAAATATGTTCTTTTCCATATGAAATATGGAAATATTATCAATTTATATTCTCTGTGATGAACAACAAATATGAATTAAGGTTCCTATAGCCTGCATTCTTTTTTTTATAATCACATGAAAGGCGGGGGTCTCATTCAATGAGCTCAGTGCTCACAATACCTTTAACCTTTAATTTGTTATACCCTAGCTTGAAAAGAGGGAATGTATATCGGGATGATCGTCCGTCTGTCCATCTCTTGCGCTTGGGGATACCCATCTCTTCTCCACAACTCCTCATACCACTGAATGAAATTCAAGGGAACATTCACATATTCTTTGTTACATAGTGCCATTGTGCACCTCCTATTTAACTTTTTATCAGAACATATTTCGGGTTTTCAATAGCAAAACATGGACACTGCTTTTTTTTCTATAATATTGAAAGATAACCATCTATTAACAGCAACTCCTCCTATACCACTAAATGAAATAGCGGTTACTTATTCAAGCTGAAAGGGGTATCAGCTGTAGATAGTAACAAGCAAATTCAAGGAATTGTAGTCCCCCGCTCTCGGTGTCCTTGTGGGTGAGATGTCATTTTTATGACATATTATGTGTAATATGGACACCCTATCAGGAACATCCCATCATATGTCATTCATTTATAAATCATCACGAAACTCCAAGTTCAAGGTCAAAGGGTTAAAGTTCTTGGTATTCAATGAAAAGACTTCTCACAAGGATTACATACGTGAAGTATGAAAGCCTTAGCCCTTACCTATCAAAAGTTATGGTCAAGGTTAAAGTTTTTTCATAAGTACGAAAAATCTCCAATGTCAAGATAAAAAGGTCAAGATTTTTGATATCCAATGAAAGCTCTCGCCACAAAAAATACATATGTTACGAAATATGTTATGAAACTCCTAGTACCTACTGTTCAAAAGTTGTTGGCAATGTAAAAGTTTTTAAAGAGTAGGTCAAACACCAAAGTCAAGGTCAAAGGGTCAAAGTTCTTGGTATCCCATGAAAGGTCTTCTCACAAGAATTACAAATATGAAGTATGAAAGCCCTAGCCCTTGCCATTCAAAAGTTATCGTCAAGGATAAAGTTTTTTCATAAGTACGGAAATCTCCAAGGTCAAGGTCAAAAGGTCAAAGTTGCTGGTATCCAATGAAAGATCTTGTCACTAAGAATATATGTGAAATATGAAAGTCCTAGTATCTACCATTCAAAAGTTATTGCAAAAGTAAAAATTTGGAATTTTTGTGTAAAAGTGGTCAAAGTGACAAGGTCAAATTTGGTGGTACCCCAAAAAAGGTCTTATCACAAGGAATACACATGTGAAATATGAAAGCCATAGCTCCACTGAATCAAAAGTTATGTGCAAGGTTAAAGTTTTTGTGACGGACAGACTGACGGACAGACGGAGAGACGGACAGACGAATGAGATTTAATGCCCCCCCTCTTTCGCGAAAGCGGGGGACAACCACGTCACACGTGTATTTAATTGGTTCTTAGTATATTCAGTCAACGTTGACAACAGAAACATTTCTGAACATGTAGTTCAAAATAAAAGAATTAAATTCATGGTTTCAAATTCGAAATTTCCTTATAGATGTATATATTCGAATACAGTAATTCTAGCTTAAACGGCTTTGCTGTGAAACCTCATGTGCTCTCAAGTACACAAGTGAGTTAAGGCTGCATATGGAGGTTTCTATGCAAAATATCGTTTTAAATTCCATACTTGCTGTGTACTTACATCGCAGAAAATGTTAAGACATGTTTTCTAATACATTCTTAATACCAACGACATGCCATAGCCAGTACACATTATGACGTCATATTATGACGTCATCGACCTCTACTACACAAGTTTATAAGAAACATCAACAAAATCGCTTCAGCGCAAGGGCACACCTTACTTTGTTATACAGAAACAAGGTATAAAAAGACGCAGGATATTTAAAGGATTTAAGATATTGCTGCACAAATTTCAGCACTGCAATTGCTTAGTTACTATTCGTGCAGTTTTAAGTTAAAAGAGGGTAAAAATTCACAGTCCAGTGTTAAGTTTATTGAATTTTTTATCGATTGAGAAAGTGCATAGGATTTGTGCAGCAATTTTATTACTTTTACGAATATTTTCCTTAATATTTTGTTTATTCTAAATAAGATAGGTTATGCCCTTGCGCCGACGTGATTTTGTTGATTTGATTTATTACCTTGAATGGGAAAGAAAAATGACGTCATAATGTGCACTTGCAATTAACAAACTGTGGGTTCTAAGTATGTATAAGAAAATCAATTTGAACTTTCTCTGTACATAAAATATACAACTTATGAATTTTTATTAGCTCATTTGCATAGAACTATCCATATTTAGCCTTAACTCACTTGCGTATGTCAGCCTTTCTAACCAAAAACTTAACAGTTACATTTATAGTAAATTATAAATTATACGTTAACTTGTAAAACTGCAATAAACAGTTCAGATAAAAATGTTCTCTCTGAATTCTTTAA